ACACAAGCTCGCTCTTACATCACTGTTGGGAATTTACTTAATCATGTACATCATAAAATAAAATAGATTTCAATTCCCACTAAGTGTTTGTTTTGTATTTAGATAGAAATTATGATATAAAGTTATAACTTTGCTTAATTCTGCAAACTTTTTGCCTTTACCTTTCCTGATCTGCCACCTATAACTGTCCAATTTTTCAGCTTCCAATGTAATTCCACACAGAAAACAAGATTGTAGAAGAACTAGGGTTTTTTACTCTTGTGCTAGCAAGAAAATAAATTTCTTTACAAATTTTAAACCCTAACTACTTATTTATATAAGCCCAAACAAGTTTGGCTTGTCTCCTGACCTGGTCATATATTTAATTAACCCATTTAATCAAATTCGATCAATGAATTAATTAATCCAATTAATTAATTTGGTCATATAAATAAACAACCCAATTAATTAATTTATGCAACGTTTGTTAAATTAATTAATTTGTAAATCACAATCTTCTAGTTCTCCCTTTGTGTGTGACCCATTAAGTTCTTAATTATGATACCCAACGACATGAATTATTTTTTTGATCTAATTAAAATTAATAAATTAAAACACCTTTTAATTTATCACCATTTCACATTCGTCGTCCCAAATTGACATCTAGTAATGTGTCGGGGTAATAAATGTGACAGAAAATATCATGTGGTATGACAAAATCAAACTTATTCGTTTACCGTGAAATTGTAATCCCTATGTTAATATGATTAGATCAATTACAAGATTTGGATAAGTGTCAATCTTAATTATTAATCATATCTTTCATTCCATTATTAAGTCGATACAAGTCGAAAACTCCTTCTCGACTCATGAGTACACCTTGGTCAAGGATTTCGTTATTAACTTAATTGAATTAAATGCATATCATAATTTCTTACTATCTAAGGGTGACGAATCCTCTATTGGTCATTCACAACCTTCGTACGATTCTTGACATACCCAAACGATGTCGTATTAGAAGCTTTTGATAGAGCAACATCCAACATCACTAAAGTATGACTGCCTTCATACAAGGTACCATGATGATCTCAAGTTAAAAAGACCAATTCTATTACCAAACATTAGAGATTAACCACCGATACTCATATTTCATGTTTTCTTCTATAACAAAATATTCACGCGTTCATTTAAGTGTCACCACACTTTAACTTGTCAGATTAGTAACTTACTTCACAAGTAAGAAATGCCACATGTGATAATATATCCATAATAATGATATTCGTAACTCGTTATTACTTACGACCATAAATTATTTAATATTCAATCATACATAATTTGTATCTCACTATCACAATTCCTAGTGACTACCAAATTACTGAAATTTGAATCTACGGACTCTATTATTTAATATCATTGATAAGAATACAAATTTAAATAAATAATAGATCTTGCCAGAATTAAATGCATCAAACATGTTAAAAGTGTTCATAATCTAAATCGATTGGACCTAGGGTATAACACTTATAGTGGATGCACACGGCAGAGCACTTCAACTTATTTCCACTGACCACAGTTACTGTCATAAGTTAAGTTGGTTCCAATTTGGTTTCTAGCACATGCATGAATTTCTCATCAATCAAACTACGGGCACTATACCAATGTCAAGGATGATAGACACCATCTTCCTCTTCACCGTCCAGCTATCCTAATGGTTTTAGGCTTAAGACTCCCAAAGAGCATTGATGGAGATTTCCATGATCTCTTCTTCCTCGCATGCTTCTATTAGTTTTCCTTCTCCCTCAGTCTTCACCACTTCCTTGTCATCCACTAACATAAAATATAGCATCGTATTTTTGCACACTTGGCCTGTAGTGTATTTCTCATCATATCTAAAACGTAGCCACAAGCTTTTTTTGGTTTGGATGTCGGTAGGGATAATTGTCTTGAATTTTAATGGATGGATTTGGGTTTTTTGGCCTTGATCATTACTGGTGTCGGGTAGATATTTGGGAGTATTTTTAATGGCTTTTTGAGGTAGTTTGGGCAATCTGGGTTGGAAGGGAGTTTGATTTGATTTTTGGAGGACTTGTTCAAAGCTATGATGGTGTTTTCTTGCAAGAGGGCTACCTCAAATGCTTGGGAGATAGAAGTTGGCCTAACAATTTTAACCATGGATCTAATATCTTCCTTCAACCCACTGATGAATACAGAGATGTAACATGACCTAGAAAGGTGAGATAAAGATAGCATAACTTGAGATTTATGATCCTCAAATAGCTCTTGGTATTCAACCACTGTTCCTCTTTGTCTTATCTTGCTGAATATTTCTATGATTATTCTGCTGTAACCCCAGCAAACCTCCTACATATCTCACTAGAAGATAAACCCCAATCATCATTAGGATGACAATTGGTGAAGCCATGAAACCACACATCTGCTCTCCCTTTTAAATCATCTCTACAATATTGATCCTTACATCATCAAGGAGTTGGTGGATACGAAAATATTTATGCGCCTTCCTCAACAATTCTGTAGGTCCCTTTCCATTGAAATAGGGAAAAATAATCTTAGGCAGCTTGATTCCCATCTTCATCTCACCTTTATTAGTACTACTTCCAGGTGTTGTTCCAATTCTTGATGATGGGCATCTTTTGTTTGTCTTTAGGCTCTCCCTACTGTCAACTTCAAATATGGGTCCCTATATTTTAAACATTCTTACAAAGAATTTTAATATAATTATGAAGAAACTAATATAGACAAACAATTAAGTCCCAAAATTTGAAGAGAAAAATACAAAATGTTAAATTTCAACTTGCAATACAAATTATAAGTGAAGATTCGGCAAACAAAATTACAATGCAATGACAAATGGGTCATTTTTTTTTTTTTCGATCATTTTCTCACTGTACCTATTTCAAACAAAATTGAATATGCATTTGAGCGATTTATGTACAAAATTGGATAATGTTGACTTTGAGAGATAGTGTAACAAAATAATGAAAATACCGATCAAATAGACTCTAATTTTATATTGATTCACAAGAAGTTAACATAAAAATAAGAAGTATGAATGACAAAGAATTATTAAATTCTAAGTAATTTCAACAAACATCTAAAAAGACTATTATCATGAGATTAAAGCAAAATCATAATAATAAAGCATATGTAAGTAAATGTTTTAAAGATAAGAGAGAAACAAAGAAACTTGTAAGGCTGTAACAATGAAGTGAGACCATATCAATCTGTTAAACTGAATCTTCAAAATTTTAATTCAAATGAAGATAATTTATTTCTGAATAATGTTATATGCAGTCACCCTATGTAACGTACTTGTGACGGTTGGTAATTTATAAGGCAATAAAAAATTACCATATTAATACATTAAATCACTAACCGTCATACTCGAGCAACACACCTGTCACTCGCCTGGAGCTAGAACATTGGTGTTTTCAAAAAAACCTTAGTTTGCGATTTTCAAGAGCTCTATCCATCCTATACTACCCCAATATATCTCTACTATAAATACCCAAGCGTCGTGAAAAGCATTGGTTGATTATTATTTTCTACTTTCATAACATTCTTTGAAGATCAAATAACAATTCTACATCTTGAAATCAATCAACCACAAGTTAGGAAAAACATCAAAATCATAGAATCCAAAACACCCACTTCCTAAACATAATTAGGAATGTTCTTTCTTAATAGTTTTCAGAGGGTGCTAAAGATTGAGGGAAGTTGGACCTAAAACACATGAAGAGTACAAGAATAAGGTGTTCTTGGTGATCCATATAATATGGATAATTTCAAAAGATAGGGAGCATGTGTAAGTAAAGCACATTTCAGTATGCATTGGAGATTGCATGAATTATATCAGCGAGTCTAGTGTGAAGCACATTTCAATGTGCCTTGGAGATTACAAGAATTATATCAGCGAGTCTAGTGAGTTTTCTAGATTGGATTATACTGTAAGTTATTATTGTCTATAGTGAAGGTTACTAGCTTGGTTCCAAAGTTTTTAATCCTGTGAATGATTTTCTCCGTCAACAAATCCCATGTATTCACCCCTCCAGATGATATTAGGATCGAATTATTAACTTTCAAAGGATATACATGAAAAACAACATATAATGCTTTCTGTTGATCTATTACCATTTATGTTGATACTTAACACCATTTTCAAATACACTTTGTAATAATAACAGAAATTAAGAAAAATTTGCCATCACTTAGAATGTAGTTCATTTTTATATTGAATAATAATGCGGGGTCACTTGTATTCTAAAATAAGAGACAAGATTTCAAGACAAGCTCAGTTATATATATATATATATATCAACAAATTTCACCGTCTAAATCTTGTATTCCATCGCCCCCTTCTTTGTAGCAGAAAAATAGGTCTGTGATCTTATTATCTTTTTGGCAAAGTATAAATATTATTTTTATTGTAAGAAATGAAATTTATTTTTCTTCAATTGAAGCCAAGTAGAGCGACATTCATTTTGAAAGGTATTTCAACCCACAGGCACATACTCGTTATGTAAATTACTCTTCATTTAAAATTATGTATAATAATATATCAACAATTTTCACCATCTTAATCTTGTATTCCATCGCCCCCTTCTTTGTAGCAGAAAATAGGACTGTAATCTTATTATCCTTTTGGCAAAGTATAAATATTATTTTTATTGTAAGAAATGAAATTTATTTTTCTTCAATTGAAGCCAAGTAGAGCGACATTCATTTTGAAAGGTTACCATTTTATTTCAACCCACAGGCACACACTTTGAAAGGTTATAGTTTTTGTTGTTGTAAGTATAAGCATTTGCAAAAATAATTTATACCGCGGCTATAATTTGAGTTGTCTTAGAAACATAACGAATGGAAAATGTTTTATTTATTACTGTATTTTATTTTGAAATGTCTTCCCCAAAAATGTGAAAGCTTTATACACACTGCGAATAATAGACATTGTAACAAGAATCGTGCAATAAACATTCTACTTGAATTTGCAGGACCAATAGTCAAACAGAAACATAGACACACACTACAATTAATAGACACTGTAACCCAAAACCATAACAAGAACCATATGCTGCGTGAAATGTGAAGTAAAATAAATGGCGGAATTTGATAGAAATAATGCTGCTGCAACCAGTCGAACATTTTATTTCTTCCTTAGCTGATAATCTTATACGGCGGCAAAGAGTGACGCCAATGCCCACCGGAACCTGGCAAATCTCCACTCTTGGATCAGAAGCCACTTTCTCGTTAAACAATAACACTGGATCCCCATAATACCTAGTTCCACTAGCATCTTCATCTGATACAATCCGCAGCGTCCCTAAAGTGTCGCTGAGGAGAGTTTTGTCATACACAATGACTCCCCCTATTCTGACTAAGTCAATCAATGTCGTGTGATATGCTGAACAAATTGTCTTGTGGACATCCAGGTAAATGAGGTCAAATGCCCCGTGATATTTTTCCTGTAATAATTTTGTCAAAGTAATTATTGTATATTTATAATATATTGAAAATATAAAAACAATTAAAATGTATGAAATCCAGTTGTATATACTTACATCTTCGGTAACAAGAGATATCGGACTTCTGTTGTAGTTGTTGCGAAAGCTTTCTTGAAAGATCTTCAATTCAGTGATTTTCGGGCTCAGTTCAACGCATCTTTCTCAACTAACAACCAGTCCAATCGGCTCCAAACCACAACCAATTGATTCACCTCGGTTGCTATTTAATCTTATCCACGTAGGACAAGAAAAGATGATGATTTGTGGTTACAAAAGTTAGAAGAAGACACCACAAAGGTATATTATGAAGGAACCACCAATTGCAAATGTTAAACAAGTGTTTTGGACACTTCTAGATGTTACTTTTCACACACAAAGGGGGCAGCCGGAATTCCTTAATTTTTCTCTCAAAACCATACAAAATATCATTAAAAAGTGGTTAGGGTTATAGCCATATATATACTCTAGAGTTAGGCTTTAAGTTGAACATTTAAAGAGGTAAACGGACCAAGATTCAAGCCTTCTAAGAGGGAATACAATTAGGTCGGGTGTAACTCATGGACTTGGTTGTTGGACTTATTTCATTCATCTGCCTGTACTTATGAAATAAAATTAACCTATGTTAACATCATAGTACGGGATTTATTGAGTATCAAAAAACCCAACGATAGTCAATTTTGTGAGCCATGCCAGCCTTTTCGATTATTGGAAAATAGAGTTGATAATTTCCGAGGCCATAATCAATGCTAGAATATGATGAAATTCAAGAAAAGAGCTGTTTAGACGTTATTCATTTGACCATCCAAGACAGATGAAATAATCATTCTAGCTACTGAAACTCTTACCTTTCCATCGTTAGGAATAGCCAGTGCAGTAGAAAGAACATAACCGCTTTGAATACCAATCTGCATTGTGTTCTTGGCATTGATGAGTTTGAGAATCATTTTCAAGAACTGCCCTACATCACTTGAACTAGTCTTGTTGATCCTGTATAATTTAACATTTATCAAAATTCAAATTGAATCTTGACTGAAAACAAAAAAATGAAATAACAAAACTGAAATGGATTGAATTTTACCAGCTACTGTGTGTTTCAGTTTTATTACGTAGCTCTTTCAAGGATTCGGTCTCTCTCGGATACACACTAGTTTCAAGCATATACTACAGAACGAAACATATTTTTTAAAGCATTAAAACTCCAATTTTCTTCGGAAAACGGGATAAGGCAAAAACTTAATTATACCTGGTTAATATGATCACTTTGCTGGAGACATTTTGAGGCCAATTTCTTGGCTTTCCTCGTGAATTTCTCTAGTGCCTGTCATTGCCTTGCTATTTCTCATTTCTTTTACTAAATCAATTTATGTTGTGAAACTCCACCTTTTTTTGCTGGTGGAAGGAGTAGCAAAGGGTTTATTTAGAGGGTAGTTCTTACTCGCCCATTTTCAAAGAATTTATAGGAAGTAAAATATGCCACGAACTAGATTCCCTGCATTTAAAAATAATAGAAAACAGGGCTCCTGAGGCATAGTCTAGTGATGCAAAGGATAGGAGTGAGGTTATCTCAAATCTTGCTGGCAGCAGCAGTGTGGGGTTCGATTCCTGATACATGAAATTAGATTTATTGTAGGCACAGTGTACATGCAGCTCTTGTTCCATGACCTATTGGAGCACATCCCTCTATTTACTTCCCTCACAAAGCTCAAGGGGCGGGACGGTGGAAGCTCTCGAGGTTGGGATTCAACCTTTAAAAATAATAGAAAAAGGGTACACGAATTTTAGCTCAAACCGAAACTGTCAGATCATAGGGTGTTATGGTTACAATTATTTGTGATTTACACCCGGTTTTTTACCCTATTTTTGAGCCTATCTCTATGGCAGCGTTGTTTCGACTTTCTTCCATTTTTCCACAAATCTCTCAATGTTATATTGTTTCTTTGGAATATGATTAAAGTTCAATTATTTTTACTTTTATTCATGGAACTCCCTTGAAATTACAATCTTTCAATTTATGTTGTGAAACTCTACTTTTTGTGGTGTAAGAAGCAACAATGGGTTAACAAAGAGGATAGCTATGTGATCTTGACAGTTTAACAAATTACAAAAATGTTGTTTTCACTAAAATTCTTCTTACTCGCCCATTTTGTCCGATGCTCATTTTCAAAGAATTTGAAGGAAGTAATTGATGCCACATCCTCCGCTATCAGTTTATGTAAAAATAATTGAAAAAGGGTACAGACCTGAAATTTCTGATCCTATGATAGGGCTATATGATTACAATTGCTAGTGATTTGTATATGGAAAATGCTGGCCGTTCACAGGCCTGCAAAGGCCAGACACATCTGCAAGGGGTGGGAGTGGGTGACTATTTAAAAAAATAAAAAATTCACCAACCCTTTTTACATTTGTGCGGCCTATATGGTTCAACTTCTTGAATAGAATTTTCAAAAGAAAAACATAAAATCAAATATTTAGAAAAGGTTCAAATTGAATTGAGGTTATTTGAGGCTTCAAATTTTATGACTGTAGACTACAATGGCATCTTTTTTAAATATTATAATTTGGATTGTAAGTACCGAAGTAAAGTGGTAGAGAATTCGTTTATAGTCATATTTTCTAGGTTATATTGACTACGTTTTTCAGTCATAAATTTCTTTTATTTTGGATGAAAAACTAAGAAAAATCTTTTAATATTATCCTTCTGAACTAATTATTGGAGACATTTGTATAGATAAATTATAACAAAACTTTAAGGAAAGAACGATCACACAACTAATCGATAGAGAAAATATTTATTTATAGAAGTTTTGTGTGGGACATATATCTCATTTTCATTTTCATTAAATTTAAGACAAAGTAAATTATACAGATGAATATGCTTAAGTTGACATCAAATAAAGGGTCCAAATAATATATTTGGGGGTGAGGGCAGATCAATGAGCTCCACTACATGTACAGAACATGGATGTATAGAAAAGATACAGAAAAGACACATGGTGGGGTGGGTGGTTGATTTTTGGGAATATTATATCAAACATGGGGCCGCGCTACAGTGAGACTTCTGACACCATTCTGTGAAAAAAATTTCTGTACACACAGAATTTTTCTAGATCAATTATCAACACGTAGCTTAGCTTAGTCTTTATTTAATTAGATCAATTAGATCTGGGGTTTGGTTGCTTTGTTTGATAGGTGATAAGGTAAAATGTAATGATAAATAATATTTTTGTCCAATTCGTGCTTATAATTCTTCAAGTTGAATTTTTTAGTGTGGTCATTGATTTATAAAATATATATATATATATATAATAAAAATTGAGTTTGACTCTCAATTTTGGTTCTTGATTCTAAAAATAGAACCAAAACCAAATGGTTCTTGGTCCTAAGAACCAAAACCATAATTTTCTTGCAGACCAGAACTAAACAGGGTTTGGTTCTAGTTTTGTCATTTTGACAACTTCTAACTTTATTTATAAATTCCTTATAAAATTGAGGGTGTGTTTGAAACTTTTTTTTTTCTTTGAAGAATGAGTTTTGTAATAGTGACTTTTTGAATAATGTATGATTAAAAAATGAAAAAAAATTTGTAATAACAAGTAAAAATGAGTTGACAAAAATCGGATTTTTATGTAATGGGGTTCAAGCAGGGGCTTAACTATGTCTTTTCTCATTTACTATTACTTATATGAAGAGATTCTCTTTGGACCTATTCAAATTAACAACTTTGGCTTGTTTAGTTATGAAGATTAAATCGTTATCTGGTAGGGGTTAAAATTAGAATTTTAGTAATTTTTTGTTGATAAAATGTAAGGGTGAAAAATTATTGGCCCAATGAAATATGTAATTGAAATTAATTATTGACTTTGATTTTAATTAAAATCTAATCCCTACCAAACCAAGGCTTAAACAACATTTGATATTATTAAATAATCATATTTATTTGGAGGATCCCAGTCTTACGAATTAAATTAGATGTATTGAAAGTAATACTTTCAATTAATGTCGAGAAACACTACTTCTTCAGGGTGTAAGGAGCAATAAAGAGGGTAGCTTTTTAGATATTCTTTTTAGTAAAATTCTTCTTACTCTCCCATTTTGTCCATTGCTCATTTTCAAAAAAAAATAAAAGTAAAAATAAAAAAAAATTAAAGCGATAAGGATATAGTCATGCATCGAATTAAAATGAAAATATAGATCAATTTATAAGAATTTGGCTACTCCTAAAGATAAGGTCGACTTTGAAAGATGAAAACTCAAGTTTTAACATGGTATTAGAGTTCATTAAGCTATAACAAGTAATTCGATCCGATTAAGATTTAAAAAAAAAAATGAGCACACAAATTTTAAGATTGATTTGCTAAAAAGAAGCTGTCCTCTTGAAGGGGCATGTTAAAGGATATAGTCTCGCATCGAATAAAGATTGAAAACATAAATCAATTTATAAGAGTTTGGACTATTTCTTTTAATAAAATCTTAACATAAATGAAGTAAAAGATGCCTCCAACTACATTTTCTGTTTTACGAAAATGGAACGACAAGGCCTAAAATGGCACATTGTGATGCTTTCTATTTTGTCTGAGTCCTACTTTGGTCCTTGGTTTGATGGTTGTACGTGCTAAAAATCCAGTACATTCCGTTTTGGTTTTCATCCCAGTCTTTTCCAACACTTCAGTTTACTTCTTTTATTTTGTCTCGATTTAATTTTTCGCTATGATCTTCCCAGTAGTTTATATAGGAGCTATAACAGTTTCATTCCTATTCGTTGGTATGATGTTCAATATTCAAATAGCAGAGATTCACAAAGAGTAAAAGGAAAAAAAGTACAAACCTAGTATGAAACTTAAATTAAAGATCCTATGATAGGGTGATATGATTATAATTATTAGTGATTACCTTCTATGATTTCTTACATAGCTACTCAAAGTAGTTGATGCATTTAAATTGAACCAATAGTTTTTCGGCGTAAATGTTTTAGTCATATATTTTTTTTCATGTTGATTAAAAAATTCTTAGGCCCCGTTTGATTGCACGAAATTTTCCATGGAACTTGGAATTCGAATTCCAACTTCCACTTTTAGCCTGTTTGATTGACAAAATTTTCCAGGAAATTGATTTTCCATGAATTTCTAGGTACAACACCTTAAAGCGTGATTTTCCACCTTTTTTTTTTCCTAGGGGATATGTGGTTTTTGGTTTTCCACCTTTTTTTTTAATTTTTTTTTTGCTTTTTTTATTTTTTTTAATTGTTGGCAATGGGAACAAATTTTAGGAATAATTGTAAAAGAGGATATCCCTGAAATTGACAATTTCCACGTAAAACAAAGTCAAACGAACATCAAAAAATACTTTTACTTCAACATTTTCCATGTGAAAAATTTATACAATCAAACACAATAATTTACAATTTTCATGAAAACAATTTCTAGGTAATTCAATTCCTTGGAATTCATTTTCTTTCCATGTAATTTTCCTACTTGTAATCAAACGCACCCTTAGAGATTAAACGTCTATAGAAATAGCAGCCAATTATAAAGTTAAACCATAACAGAAATTTTTACAAAGAACAATCACAAGAAATCAAGATAGATGATATTTATTTATAAAAGTTTTCTTGTGTTGCACATCTTTCACTGTTTTTGATTCATCAAATTTAACACAATTTACACCATTAAACAAGCTTAAGGTGATATCAAATGAGGTAAGGGTAGACAACATCTCAGGCTCGCAGCTTGGCTCATTTTAGCTTATTTAAAGGTCCTAGTCCTAAAAAAATAAATTAGATGTTGATATTTGATTAGCCACGTCAATGTTGCTTAAGAAACGAACTCTTGAAAATATAGAATTTTTTGTATTGACCTCGAATTTAATTATTTTGACTTTCTTTCATCCCCACAAATGTCTAAATACTATAATTTTAAGGATGTGCTTAAGATTTAATTATTTTTATTTTTCATTCATTGAACTTCCTCCAAAATACATATTTCCAATTTATGTAGTGAAAACACTATTTTTGTACTGTAAGAAGCAATAAAGATTTAATAAATGAAAACTGCTTGTCCAATAGGAGGCCACCACTTGTCAATTTGGTAAACCATTAGGTAAACTATTTGGTACAAATAGATTAATCATATATATATATATATTTATTTATTTATTTA